CCTCCGTGCGTGTGTGTGTGTTTGTGTGTGTGTGTGTGTGTGTGTGTGTGTGTGTGTGTGTGTGTGTGTTTGTGTGTGCACGTGTGCGTGCGTGTATGTGTGATATGTATAGCTATATTTGTAGGACTCTTGTAGCCGTAGATCGACCCGAAGGTCAAGTTGGATGTCTAAATGATCTTCCAGCCCACCGCCTGTTTGAAATATCCCACTTCGTAGTTCCCTCAGTTCCACAAAATAGATTTAGGAAGTTTTAAACTATGAATTATTCCCCTTAGAACGGCGGCTGGATCGTTGCCAGTGGCAACAACTACCCGCTCCGTGGCGGGAAGGTGACCCTGTGGGAGGGGGGCACCAGGGGCGTGGCGTTCGCGCACGGCAAGATGCTGCAGAAAACCGGCTACACCAACAATGAGTACGTGAGCTCTAGATATATTTAATAGAAAGGTAACATTTGCAAAACAACTGCATAATGTTAACATTCACATGGCCTAGCCTGTCAAACTACTGCTCTGTTTATTCTTTTACTCAAACGCTTCTGCTACAGCATCACTTACAATGGTGACAGCCGTCTGGTCCAGGTCATTGCCCATATTTAACCAGCAACGACTATGTGATTATTACATCACGGAGCAGACATTCTACGGCTAAGATTGTCTAATTTTCAAAATTGACGTTAATTTGCTTACATGCATATAACTGCGAATAATAAAACTATCTTGGACATGTGTCTATAACTATAGAAGACCATCATCAAGTACTAAGCTGTCTTCTCAGTGTGAATTGTCGGGGGGCTTGGACTGTGAGTGTGCTTCTCACGAAACTTTGTGTTACCGTTCTTCAGGCTGATCCATGCTGTGGACTGGTTCCCAACCATCCTGGAAGCAGCCGGGGGTACTGCTGGTAGGTGTTCCCAGCTATGCTTATTCACCTGACGCATTGTTCATTTAAAAAATAACATGTTACGTAATATGACACAATCTGATCATTTGCTACAAGGTGACAGGCTAAATGAAAGTTCTAAACGGAAACTATGCGGCACCAGATGTCTTAATGAGGGACGACTGTGGTGTGCGATATGTTAGCTACCTTGAGGAATGAATCCACTCTACTTTATATCTTCTATAGGGATGTTCGTTTATAAGACTGTGAATGCATTGTCCGGCGTCGTTGTTTCAGATTTCGTTGGCCTTTACATTTGACACTAGGCACGTGTAGGGTACAAACTCAGGCACGTTTGGGATTGTGTTCTCACCGCAAAAGCGCCACCTATATCGGCCACGTATAGCGGCGAGAAGCAGAACTCCATGAACCTCCTTATTACTTCACTGTTCCCGGTATAGTTTTTGATGTTGTTTGATACCAGATGCCGCTATTGACGGGGTTAGCCAGCTGGACACCATCCTGTCAGGGAAGCCCTCACCGCGCACAGAGTTCGTCTACAACATTGATGACGTCTTCCCGACTAAACAGGGAGCCATCAGGTAACACCTAACAAACGTTATACTGAACAACGTTTTGAAATGTTCCTTGTTTCTTTATGTTGTCAACTATCGTGCACAATAAGCGGGTTCATGGTCCCAACTGCGCATGCACGACGTGATACATTATGTAGGCAATATGCCAGTTATATCTGCCACTGTGATTAACAAAACACGTAACGGCTAGACATATAATAAGCATGGTCAGACGTGCTTCCTTTCTGTCTCAGGGGCCTTCAAATATGACACTTCAAATACAATTCACCGCGCATGCGCAGATGCAACCATGTCCCCGCTTGGGGTTACATTCAGAAATCATGTCAAAAAAACACAAATATTTAAGGTTCGAGGATGAACTGCATAAGAATGAAAGACCTTCCTCTGTTGTAGTGTGAGAAATCTGCCTTTTAAGCCCAACAATGGATGTTAAATCGTCACTTGGCTATGTACAACGAGTATCTATCCACATCTACATGGCCCTACATCTATAAACGTTTACTGAGAAAGGCCTACAATGGGGCATCCCGCCCAGGATGCACGGCTAGTGCGGTCGGTGGGGTGGCGTGACAAAACAAAACAAACATTTGGTGCAAATGGTGAGTAGATAAATGCCAAAAAAGGCCAGGACTACTATACTGTGTGTCCTGTGCACCAGGGTTGGCGACTACAAGCTGATCGAGGGGTATGCCGGGAAGCCTGACGGGTGGATCCGTCCCGACAACCTGACGGAGAGTCAGCCTGACAGCGGGGACCCCACCACTGGCACATGGCTCTTCAACCTGAAAGGTAGGATTACATGTATCCCCGGAAATAAGCTTAAGACTGTGTGTGGATGGTGATCAGCACCAAGGACAGGCATGTTTGCCTCCGTGTGTGTGTGTGTTTGTGCATGTGTGTGTGTACATGTGTGTGTGTGTGTGTGTGTGTGTGTGTGTGTGTGTGTGTGTGTGTATGCGTATGAAAAATGCATGCGTAGTGTGTGTGTGTGTGTGTGTGTGTGTGTGTGTGTGTGTGTGTGTGTGAGTTTGTGTGTGTGTGTGCATGCGTTTGCCTGTATGCTCGAGTGTCTGAGTACCAGGCATGTCTACCCACACAGTTACTGCACGTCACTGGGGGTACCCTCTTGGGGTCAGGTTCTTGCGCTTTTGGCCTCTAAACCTACAAGGTTCCGGCAAGGTCTCTGTCCTTGGCCCGTTACAGTGTCTTAATGTATGAGGACATTAAGGTCCTATGATATGGCGGCAGAAATTGTCAGGAAAACATTTTCGACTCTGTGCTTTTCCAGACGACCCCACAGAGCACAACAACCTGGCGGCCACCATGCCGGACAAGCTGAAGGAGATGCAGGCTAAGCTGGAGGACTACAGGAAGTCCATGGTTCCCGCCATCAACCCGCTGCCTGACCCCAAGTCCAACCCGAAGGACTGGGGAGGGGCGTGGTCGCCCGGCTGGTGCTAGCCAACTACACGTAGTACACGTAGCCTGGTTACCAAACCTATTATAGCTCCTCTATTTGCGGAGAGGATGTAGGACTCGAGAGCTATAATAGGTTTGGTAACCTGTCTACAGTACACGTACCTTTCCATCTCTTTGAAAAACAACAACAACAAATAAAACAAAAACAAAACAAACAATAAAAACGTTCGACGTCGCTGCATGCGAGTTATGATCTTGAGCATATTTCCTTTATTTCTTTTATTTCGATGTCCTTTAGCCCAAAAGGCTAATTTTCCGGCGCTCATGCAGAAATAAAACTTTGAAACACATGTATAACAGCTAGCATGGCAAAAAAACACACCATTAACACACAACGAAATTTACATTATGTGCAAATGAAAGGACATAATCTACATGCTAGTTATAGAACATTATATGAACAGTTGGCGGATGGCTTTTTTAAACACGTGATTCCACTATGATAACAATCACAAGTTCGTATGGTCTATTACAACTACATGCATGCAGTCAAACAAGTGGATGTAAATGCAGTCAAACAAGTGGATGTAAATGAATCAACCTATGTACAAGAATATGAATAAATCAATATGTTGAGCTTGACGCATCACTTAAGGTCTAAATATTCTTTGATATAATCACATATATTTACACAGTAAGGGTTAAGAACCAGATTTACACCAGTGAACACCTCATGCCATAATGAATATGTACTTGAAATTCAGCATATACTTGATAACATGGCCTAAGAGACTAGTACATGAATGTCGTTCTTGAATATGTTGTTACCTTTACAACCATCATTCGACCATGTCTACATCATTTTTATGCCACTCATGATGGGCCTGGTGGTACCTTCGCATCGCGTCCTCTGCGACTCGTCTCTCCTTCATGGCCCGTACAAGAAGATCCAGTCTAGTCAGACAATCCTCCAGTCTTTCTGATGCCAGCATGTCTTCCTCTGGAAATCATCAGGAGATACAACAAGGACTTGCATTAGTCGCTACCAACGTATAAATTTACTTCCGTAAAACGCCAATAATAAGCTAATGTAATCACACCAGGATAAGCTTCTAACCCTTTATGTGCTGCACTAGGTTATTCCCCGACTTGCCCAAACCAAATTTGAAAGAATCTTCCATCACACGCTGTTTCCTTTGGGGATTTAATTTCCTTCTCGTCAGTGTATGAGTTGTCTATTCTATATCTATTCTATATAGCTGACTCTTGGTCTCTCTCGGCCTTTTCCTCCCTTTGTAGGCTACTAAAAGACTAGGGGTAGATGCTACAGCTTCAGGGTGCCTCATGCAATGAGCAACCGATTTGTTTCATAGGCTGCCTGACCTTATTTTCGCAGTAGCTGGTTAATCTCGGCACAGCTGCTCATGAACTAGTGGGTTACATGTAGAGGCCATCTTACCCTGATTTGCAGAGTTTGTCAGACCGAGGAAGTTGGCGAGCCTCCTCCACAGCTCCTGCAGGATCTCCTGATGTTCCTGAGGCGGCGTGTAACCTCTCATCACCACGAGTGCATCGTTGATGATGGCCACCAGGATGTTGATAATGACGATGAAGACGACGCACAGATAGGTGTACAGGAACAGCGGCCCGATGATCCTGCTGGTGCTTAAGATTTCATTGAATTCAAAATACCCGAGAGCACATACGAAGAGACTCTTCCCAGAGGCAGCTATCGTAGAGTATCCCTGCAAATACGTTCACACATAAGGAATCATCGACATTTGTAGTATTGCAACTATTCTATCTTTCTGCTTCTAGCACTGTTTTGATTGTTTCTCCTGGCTATAGACAAAATATAAACCAGTGATGGGAGCCTGCCCATATTTCGATACCAAGCATTTTTTACATACATCGGCACGTGACGAAGACACCAGCACAATGTGGCGCTAATGTTTCAAACCGTCTACCAAAAAAAAAAACGCAAAACAATAATGCATCCACCACACCTGTATTTTGAGTCCAAAGACCAAATGTCCCAGCTGCACGAATGAGAGAAACAGGAAGGTGAAGTACACTGCGAAGCCTGTAACCTCTGGTGCCATGTGCCTCATTGACGTCATCAACACAGACAGCATCGGGTTGAAGCGGAGGAGGCGAAGAAACTTGAAGATGTTGATGAAGGCGACGGTGGCCACTGTCCAAACAAACGCCTGGTTCCAGAAGACGGCCTGGTCGAAGTTGATGAACTTTGACGAATCTGAAACAAAAGAAGAGTAAGAAAGAAGAGTTACTTCATAAAATGAACAATAGCCGTCAGAAACTGTCTGTCTAACCACCTCAACGTTAATACCATATAATACATATTCAAAGCCATGAGAAGAAAACCACTGATGCTTAACAAACAAAAATGATTACCACGGTGATGGAGAAGCTTGTCCACAGTATTCCTCGAGGTTATGTAGTCTACAGCAAAAACGGCAACGGCGCCGAAACAAACCAGAATGTTGGCAATCTCGAGAAGGTTCCACGGTTGGAGGCAGTAGCTTCTCCCCTGTTCCTTCATCAGTCTTACTTCCCTGTACAGCGTGTAGAGGAAACAGACCACATACAGGATGTGCAGGGCCATGATGATGTATCCAGCCGTGCCGACGAACCGATGTAAGCGGTAGGTCCACACAGAGTGGGACGGCACCGCCCCTCCCGTGTTGAGAAACTCCACCATGTACGACATCGTGCTGAAGAAGTTGACATTGGCGTTGTACACCGTGAACTCGACAATGACGGCGCGCGTATAACGGTCAATCCAGCCGGCTCCCTTCAGGCCAGCGATGACAGCGAGGGCAGCAGCTTTGTTTCTGCCAACTCCGGTAACGTAACCTCCCGAGCCGTACGTGGCAATGGCTCCCATCGCGGGGAGCTCGTCACCAGACCCGGGAAGGCGGTACGTCCAGGGCGACGGTTTGGAGACATCATCCGAAGAGTTGGAGGAGGAGAGGGGGGTCCATCCGGGCAGAAAGTCTTTCGTCTCCTCGTCTGAAATGGCGTTCCCGCTGTTGCATTCCTGACTCATGTAAAGACTAATGTAGTGCGGCTGAAAGTCACAGGGTCCTTAGAGTGGATGGATAAAAAAGGCAGTTTCAAATTTATATACGTTGTGAATACTATCAAGGAATTGAGCATCTGGCTACATGGAAGCTTGGGCTTTTTAAACGCAGGGAAATATTCATGACCTGGGTATTTTCTTGTCAATTCAAATATCTCAAATATCGATATCGCTTCATGAAAAAACACCATGAAAAACTGGTTTGATATATTCGTATCTTTACACTGTCGAAATGAGCAACTTATATGCATCCAGCGTACTTCCAGAAGAAAGCAGGACCTGTATCCTTACTGGGTTTGACTCGTATCTGCCTGTAGCGTGCAGCCCCGATCCTGTAAGAAGTGGTGTCGCTGATGAAAAGCTTCCGTCTCCAGCCGAGCTTCTCACTGTTGTAATGGTTTTCCTGGAACAGACCCGGAATAAGGACGTCGCGCGCCCACGTCCAATAGTCGTCCGCTGTACTGATCTGTGAACATAGAGTCAGATTGTTATCTCTGAAAAAACACCTACGCAGACGTACATGTACATGTGCTGTGTCTGTGTGCATAAGCGCTCGAGCATATGTGTGTGTGTGTGTGTGTGTGTGTGTGTGTGTGTGTGTGTGTGCGCGCGCGTTTTTCAGATATCTTTAAGTGCGTATATTTGTTTAAATAGAGAATCACTCTAAGAAACTGACCTCATCAAAATCCGACTGGAAGAGGTCTCCTATAGTGTTGTAGGCGTGGTGAGAGTAGACGTTTGTGCCACTATTCGCCACCACAAGCAGAACCATTACAAACAGGAAGAACCCGGCAACCTCCTGTATCACGCTGTCCGTCTTTTTTCTGGTCTCTTCCCTTTTCTGTCGCTCTTTCTGTGACGCATCCGTTTGGTCATGCTGTGAGAGAGCTTTCCACAACTGCTGTTTTGTCACTGGTGAAAAGGAAAAAAATGAATATTTGAGTATTGTACGTAGATATTAATTTAGAAGGTTGTGTCCTTTAGACACCTGACAGAGAATAAACTTTATTGCTCGATAATCATACAAGGTACAATTTATGGAAACAACTGCTAAACAACAATACTACAACGTTTATCTACCGTTCAATTAGAACTGCAAAATAATGTTCATAGCAATAAATTGTGAGTTACGTATGGATGACTTATCTTATTATTGTCATTTGGTGTCGTTTTGGAATAGAGTTCAAAAACATTAACATATTTAACCAGGGGAAATTATTATCCATATTTAGCTTATCTTGTCACACGGAGACTAAACAAAGTGCCACATACCTCTCGTGTTCGCCCTGTGAGATATCCAGGCAAACAGGCTGCTCTCTGATTGGCTGGAATCCTCCACGTCAGCGTGTTGTAGGATGACGTCATCCCGAGTCGATGACACAGCGACTTTCTTACAGACATAGGAGACCAGCGCAGAAACAGCCAGAATCTGCGGTAGAAGCATGTAAACGATATTTGCGGAAGCTACCAGCAACACAGGCCACGTATATAGAGTAATTGTAACATTTGCAATGCCAATGTCATGGACAGACAGATTAAGTATGAAATTTAGTTTTCTGTCTTGATCTGGTTCCTTCGAAATAATAAGGAAATCCTCTTCGCTTAAGATTTCCTCTGGTTGTAAGTCCCAGTGACATGATGGCACGATAACAGAAAGCTCTTACCTTCAATGGCTCCACAACAAAAACGTCTTGAACGAAGGTCATCAGAAACGTCTTCAGCCATGCGTTTGCCTTCGCAGCTCCCCATTCCAGGCTGTAGAGAATAGTAAAGAACGCCGATACGCAACAGCTAAGGACCAGGATCGACCAAACCACGTACACAAACATATGGGGAAGAAACCGAGAGGAAGGTCGCGTTTTCAACAGCATAGACCTGATGTTTTCCTTCTCTGCGACATTCACGGCATTCTTGGCCGGTTGTTGCTTTTCTCTGCACCGGTTGAAGAGCTGGACGAGGAGCACGTTTACGGGGAGGACACACAATGACGTCATCGCGCTGACGTATAACTCGTGAAGGGTGAAGGAGACTATCCCAAGATTCACCACGTTATTCTGCTCCAGGCTGTCTTCCATTTTGTACCACATGGCGTTGGCAATCATGGTGGTGTAGACAATACACAGTCCACAGGAGAGGCGTTGGACCCTGCTGAAATGGCTGCCACTGGGGCAGAAGAAGATGGAGAGCCAGATGTGCTCATTTTTAAAACTGTCGACGGCCTTTGTAGTGAATAGTTGGAAGGATGACAAATCTTGCTCGGTCGAAGAGGGAAGAATCCGGCTGATTCTTCCGTCCCCACGGTCAAGCGATAGCCACTGGTCACACAGGAAACTGTTTCTGTAAACCACAACAAAAAAACTTTGAATTCATGGTACTAACTTGGTACTGAGCATGTATTTTTAATCAAAGTTTGTACGTGCAAATAACGCATTCCATGAGCCATATGCCATCGTGTGTCGTGTGTGGTTGAATGAACCATTTCTCAATTGTACTTACGTTTCTCCTGAGTGCAAATCTCGCACGATGACTTTATCTAACTTCTAAGCCCTGCCCTTGCCCCCCTGGTTGTCGTGCCAGATTTGAAGCCGAAGAAGGTCGCCCAGACTTTCTTCAACAGCGAGCAAGAAGATGTCCACGCCGCCAGCCTGAAAGGTCTAATGTGGATAATGGTAGATACACTTAATTATACACACACACACACACACACACACACACACACACACACACACGAACACAGACAGATCATAAACAATACTCACATGTAGTTTCATGTGATGCAAATCAAGAACGAATCCTTCAAACTGGTTGTCAACAACCATAAAACGTCCAGCTGAATCTTTACCTCTGGGCCTTGCTTGCACACCCTGACTCTGGTACTCCCCTTGTCCCCAAGCAATGTAAACCCCACATTGGACTTGGTTCCAGACCCTCTGGCGTGACTGGTGTAGACGGACATCTTGTAATAGTACCTGTCAGTGGAGCGGTTGTCGGGTAGGCCATGGACAATCAGCTGCCAAAAGCAACGCAAAAATCTTTTCGTCTCAAGTTCTTAAGTAACTTTAAATCTATAGAAGGGAATTGGAATAATCAGCAAACAAAATGACCGACGTCCCCTTTTGTTTTTAGAGTAACGTTGCTTTCGTCATAACCTTACCTTCTTGACACCTGCTTTGTCGACCTTCCTGAGAAACATGACCCCGACTAAGTACAAGGCTAATGACGTCAGAACGGCAGCGAGGACCCCTGCGTTGTTCCCTATGTCCGTGAACTTGTCGAACACGGTGGTCAGGTCAATCGTGTTCGGTACGGTGACGAAGCCAGTCCCGAACGCCGTCATGTGGTTGCAGGCGCAGACAGTCGCACTGACTGTGGAGGTAGGGTGGACCTGTGGAGACGAAACAGGTGTCATGGTCAAGTTTCACACCCTGATTTTCGACCAGGTCTTTGATCTTCCTCGGACCAAGAGGATTTCTTTCTATCTTGGTTTATACCAGAACACCATTTATGTTAAGACTAAACTGTTACAGGCTCTAAGTACAGTTGCCCAACTACCCCCAGAAGCAGGGGTATCGCAGTAATATATTGTAAAGACTGCACATTTGGCAATTACGTGTTGATTACAAACTAGCACCCTAACCGACGTGAAAGCAACGAACACATTGCCACAAAGGACTATGGTCAATAGATCGGATCTTACTCTACACCCGTTCGGTAGCCAGGTCTCTGTGTCCTCCGCCCAGTAACGACAGCTCAGATCCCAAACCTCCAGGCTGTAGAACTGTGTCCCATTCACGTCTGACTTGTCAGCGGGGTCCACGACAAAGACGCCGTCTTCGACTACATCTTGGTAAACATCCTCCAAACCTAAGCAAACGTGAACATCACCACCACCCATCATCATCATCATCATCATCATCACCATCATCATTAACACCATCATCATCATCCACGCCTTCATCTCTCTCTCTCTCTCTCTCTCTCTCAATTTCTGTCTCTATATACATATATTACATAGTATACGAGTAGTACACGTTGTAAAAATATTCTTACCAGCAACTTCTACTCCGACCACGTATTTTCCGGTGTGATTCCTTCCTGACACAAAAAACGCGACAGACTGAGGCTCGGCTGCGCCATGTCGTGAGAATGTCGGTTTCCAGTCCTGCCACGGGAAACAGACTTCACAGTTTCTACTGTGGGCCAGGCCGCCTCCTCTCCCGAACACGGATATCCTGGAACTCCTGTTCAGGGCGGTAACTTGGACGATGAACGCGTCATCTACGTCTGAAATGTTGAACACGTGCTGCACCACGCTCTCATTTCCCGTGGAATCCACTCCATGAACCAGTCCGCTGGAAGGGCGATCTCCGTTGGTGGCAATGGTGATCAGGATGTCGTCTTCTGCGTCCTTGATGTCCCCAATGGACATGGTCGATGGGATCAAGGAGACGTCGTGGACAGCAGAGTTGATGATGTTTGAGTTGTTTCCCCAGGTGAAAGGGTTGTCATGGTAACTGATGACCTGGAAAGAAAGCAATTGCAAGAGGCGCTCGAATAACACCACACCATGTACTTAGTGAGGATATATGTCAGTGACATTTACATAGACATTTCAACAAAAAAGCATTCAACGCTTCCAGAGAATATGAATATTCCTATAGAAATATTAGTGCATATTTGAAAGCATTATCTAATCTATATCACACAGAATTAAAGTGTTAACCCCAAGACAAGCGTGGAATAGACTCAATGTCCTATATAATAAGATGCCACATACCTTGGTGTCAACAAACCTGGGCACGAAGCCTTTGAATAGTTTTTCAGCAGAGGGAAAGACGACGTTCACGCCTGCGCCGTTCAGCCGATGACCTGCCAGATCCTTTCCGCGCATTCTGTGTACCTGCAGGCTGAGTCTGTCGGAGTCTATCCGTACTCCGGGGCCGCCGGGTGTCAGCTGTCTCCTCAGACGGCCCGCAATGTCGTCTAGTAACTCACGACCTCCTCCAACGACGACGCGTTTCTGGCAACCATATGAGAGCTTTTAGCAACTTTGGACATAGATGATGATGAAGAACCGCTGTGTCTACTTCTTTCATTAATTATTTAGCAATTCGGCTTCAAATATTATAAGACACGCAGATTAGAATGATAGAATTTAAAAAAAAAACAATGGAAACGAAAATATCATACATTAGTAGTAATCTACCTTTTGGTCACTTTCCTCCTTTTTCTGCCGCTCCTGATCTGCTCGCTCTTCGGGTGACAACAAATCATCATTCCTGGTAGGATCGACGTCAGCCTGGGCAAGTGCTTCATGGAAGAGGTGTCCAACGGAGCGTAACATATCTGAATCACAACCAAACCTGGTTACAGGAGTGTGTACACGACTCACGACGGTGGACTATAATGACCCGCATTCGTCGCACGATTGTCGCACGACAACAAACTTAGTGAATTCTTGGGATAGTCGTGCATATGTGTACAACATTCAGCTGCCTTGTTACGGAAAGGCGTACAATACAAATGAACTGAACAGATCTCTCAGGATTTTTTTTCAAATTCAATACGTAGTGCTATAAAATGGAACGATCAGATTTCCAACATCAAAACATTAACGTACATCCTATAGTACAGGACCGACATGTGCCACAAGTTTCATCAAACCTGTGGCTGAATCCAACCTGCTTCTTGGATCTCCATACCATCTTACCTGTACTGGTGCGCGAGATGTTTTGCGTCGTCCCTGCTTTTCTCCCAAGTACGTCGTTCAGGTTGTTCAGAACAGTGAGGTAGGAAAGCTTTAGATATAAACAGGGTTGAAGGAAACAACATGAAGAAGGCCTTGCTTTACGGTAAAACTACATTAGCTAAAGACGTTTTGCCACATTTTACTGCAGAAACATTTCTTAAACATTCAAACCTGACCACTTTCCATCAAACAAACATAAAACAAAACGTCAAAGACAACACCAAAGACTTGTAAAGTTTAAGCTACTCATTTATAACAGGAAACGAACCTGTTCTTCCACTGACTTGTTACTACACTCTCTGATGACAGCTTCACATAACTGGCCAAGGACGCTTGCAGCGATTGTGGTCTGCAGACGCTCTGATGCAATTGTCAGTGTATCCAAGGCTTGTTTGCAGGTCTGGTGCACCGAACCTGTGGTCTTGTTGATGCTTACCGGTTGCGTCACTACGGCAAGTGCTTCTACGAGCGCCACAGGATCCGTTGAGGCGATGTCAGTGACATTCACGGCATCAATGGCGGGAATGGCGAGGCCTTCGACCATCAGCGATGGGAAATCCGCCTGGAACGGCATGGGGTCTCGTAAGGTCCAGGACTACATGAAAATATTTCACAGTATGGATTGTATTGACCTTGAGTATGGTAATCATACTACCTGTAGCGTATGCTCGTCGTCAGCACCCAGTCCGTCGGAAGGATCTGAAACAAAAAACATAAATTATAGCCCTTTACGACGGTCAGGATAAGGTTTTTTGTCTTTAGAAAATACAAATGTTCTTACATAACAATGGGACAAACTACTTTTCAAACTACAGTTTAACTGTCCACAGTATGTCGCTTTTTGGTATATTTAACTGATATGCATTTGCGGTCAATTAACTTATAAACCAACCGTCGCCCTCGTCACCGGAACTGATGCTGACGTCAGACTCTTGTTCGGGGTTTTCGCTTTCCCACGACTCGTAACTTTCTCTTTCCCGCGATCGTGGTACAAAGCCTCCAAACCCGTCGTCACTTTGCACCTCCACATCGGTATCGCTCTCTTGGTCTGAGTAGGAACAGGATTTTACAGATAATACCTTGTCAGCAAACTTTGAGCGAGGACTCAATGTAGTGTTTTGGCTACAATACTACTATTATTCGTTTTTCAAACTGTACCTTAAAACGAATAGCAAAGTTCTTCGATCACAACCATTTATTTTTTACGAGCCGACGTTTCGATGACCGTCTGTCATCTTCATCAGGGCAATTCTGACTGGTTTACTGTGCACTGACGCTAGATGTTATTTGGTGCATAGTGCATGGTTCACATGTAGATGACAGACGGTCATCGAAACGTCGGCTCGTAAGAAATAAATGGTTGTGATCAAAGAACTTTGCTATTCATTCGTTTACCAACCTGACGAAATTATTTACGGATGTACCTTAAAACGATAGGAAAGCTGACCGTACCTTGCAGGTCGTCCATGGACTCTGTATCCGACATGGAGCTCTCTGTAGTATGCCGTGCCCGAGTGGATAACGACGTAGTCACTAGAAAAAACGCTGTTGTTTTTTTGTTAGTTACTTGAACCTAGATTATCAAAGTTATTATGACATACTTTCGATATTCAATTAATGAGTACATGATTATAAGCGAAAGTATGCGAAGTAGTAAAACACAATGCAAGAGTAATATGCATAGATAAATAAGGGACACAATTGCTCTCGAAGTACCATCAACAAAGATGTCAACAATGGGTAGTTATAGGAACCATTGCACACACTCACTGGTAGGTTCTGTAGATGGCGCGCCTGTAGGTGTAGGTGCTGATGTCTGTTGCTCAGTAGCCGATTCTGGGGGGGGGGGGCGAAAAACAGTGAATGCTAATGTCCATTTTGATGTGTCCTTATGGTTCCTCCTTAATTCAGAGTAAAGCATTGTCGAAACTCTCCCGTACTGTTATAGGATTATCAAGGGTTCGGAACACGACAAAATTTACGGAAACTCTTGTACAGTACATAAACAGGTAACAACGAACACGACACTGTAATTCTATTTTTTCACGGTACTTTTGTGTTCACGGGTTTCACTGCCACTTCTGTACCGTGAACTTATCATTACAGTTAACAAATAATTCCAGGACTTTCTTTTTTCTACACCTGTCGCCACCGTGACTATATAGTTCCGTGAACACGTCCATTTTTCTCACACCGTGAAATTCTGCTACCGTGAACATAACGTAAATTCTCGGGTTCTAACCTGTTATCCAGGGGACAGGCACACCGTCGCTAACGCCAGCCGGACCGACGGCATAGAGCTTGGCGACATAAGGATGAAGGGGGATCAGCCCTGTTACATCCGTGGTTGTTAGATTGTTGCTCAGGGAAATGTTTACTGCTTCCAATGGAGCATCGGCCGGTATGATCTCCAGCACGTACGCGACAACCTCGCCACCTGGTGCCGCCCACATCAGGGTAGCCGAACGGTCCGTCACGGCTAACACGTGGAAATCACGTGGAGGGTCTACAACTGTGATGAGAGGGGGAAAAATGTAACAAGATTTCGAAGATTTGAAACTTTTATGAAGTATTGAAGTTTTTTTGCCAGTCTGCAGAGAAACCGTTTTGAACTGCAATTCTACCTTCCTGTCAGTCTGCGGTTATATCATCTCCCCTCGCTTCTCTGTTACACTCAAATAACTACGGATATAAATTAGTAACAAGTAACTAAATCTGCTACTACTACGTATTCTAGACAAGTTCCCTTGACACACGTTTTCGTTACCTACCAGACAGAGTGTATTGCTGGAGACTAGCGGCTCTACCCACAAAGTCTGCAGCAATGGCTGTTATGGTAACGTTGTATTCCACCCCTGGCAACAGCCCCCGTAAATGCACTTCCGGGTGATGCACGTACAACTGGTCGATTTCTTGGCTGTTCATCGGATGATATGTAACTCGATACCCGATCACTAAAGATGACGTGACGTTCCAGGTGACGTAAAACCCTTCTTTGGTCACCAGCGAGACCGTCAAGTTGTGAATCTCGTCGTTTCCTGGAATGTACAAACAACGTTTCCTGGAATGTTACAACATCGTTTCCTGGAATGTAACAACATCGTTTCCTGGAATGTTACAACATCGTTTCCTGGAATGTACAAATGACGTTTCCTGGAATGTTACAACTTCTAGCAATTCTAGCAAATCATGATCCAAACATCGCAATTTTGTCAACTGTGTGTGATAGGCTGACTCTGTACAGTCGTTTTCCTACTGGCGTCGGTAAGGGAATATGAATATAACAGGAAATTGAAGACAAATCAAACACAGAGGCAATAAGGTCTTACTTTGTAATATTATAGTCCGTGAGTAAGATAGGTAGATGTGGCTTCTTGGCGTCATGAGGTATATCTCCAGCAGGTATGAGACTTCCAATTCAATATCGGTGAAGTTGAACATTTCTGTGTCCCATGAAACATTCCAACTTGTTGTAAAACCGTCCCTAAGATTTGTCTGTGCAACAAACACAGTGCTACGGAAAACATTTGAAAGGGTTACAAATTATCAATTGTTGACGTTTGTGTATTATGACTAGGCTTCACCGTAAATTACTTTTTAGTCTCTTTAAACGGCGTACTTTTGAATGGTTGGGGTTTGTGGTGGATTTTGGTGCTGGTTTCTTGTCTCTCGATAGTTTGTCGCTCTTATATCGCAAAGCTTAATCGGTATGGTCTATTCGTCTAGTGTGGTATTTAACCTACCTTAATCCACAGGGGTACTCTGGCATCTCTGATACGTTCCAACGCGCCAACAGTATACCGGGCTCAACTTCTTCTACCAACATCCTGGTTACGTCTGTGGTCGGGTCTGAAAATGTTATGACGTTAATAAAATGGCACTAGGTAATAAAAAAATATAACTCAAGCAGGCAATCGGCTAAATTGTCATAAGGGACCGACGTTTTAGATAGCATACACTAACTTTCATGACTGACTGAGGATGAAACATGATGGGTTTTATCTGACACTGCATGAAGGTACGGATTTGCGACTTGGAAATTTCTGCACACGCGGCCGGAAGTTCCACATTTCCGGGAGTTTCCGGGCGCGTGTCACCTGCACACTCCAGATGCACACGTCCCGGAAATTCCCGGAGATGCACCACTTTTGTGTGCAGGACTCTTTATTTATCCAGTTATTTTCTATTAGTAATGCTCTACCTGGGTGTCTATCCTTCATCGACACTTCGTGACAAATTAATGACTCAATCAACACCGACCAAATCAGTCATAGCAACTCATCACCGATTCTGTACTCAGCATTCCGCAAATCGAATTTGGAAATGGACATAGACTGATTACAAGAATTTACCTTCTCTGACGTCACACGGAGTGGACATCGTCACCAGCTCAGTCACCTCGTGTAGCGGCAGTTTCCTCAGGACGTTCCGGCCATCGGAACAGCTCACCAGTTTTACCACGCTGTCTCTGTTATCAAAGCAAACTTCTCTTCCCAACACCCTCCAGCTCAGCGCGTCATCAATGACGTCAAACAATATAGACTCTCTGATTGGTGAGCAGGTAGCTATGGCAACCACGTTGTTGGGAAGAAGTTCGAGGCACTGTGACGTTTCTCCGTTACGAAGAGTTCCTTCTGCGGTGTGCAGCCAATGATTCCGAGGCCGTTGCGCTAAACAATTGCCAATCTGTGGTGCACTTGTGGCGCCGTCCCCATACATACACGAGCACGTCATTCGTGGAGTCCATTCGAAGAGGAAGTAAGCTGGAAATAAGACCGTAGATATGCAATGGCAAGAGAGGACAGATTACAGTACTGATTCTAATACACACATGCCCAGTGCATTCCTTCCTCAGATGAATAGGAATGGTAGACGTTAATTCTCTGCCTTCAGCACAGAAGATTTGATTTGATTTGATTTATTAGGATTGCAAACAAGTACAATACTCGTGGGCCACAGGCAGCGGGGGCTGGTGTTGTGGCCCACACACAAAACAATCACAAAACACAAACAAGACACACATTTAAACCTAGTATAAGTATATAAAAATAAGTATAAGGGTACTAAAAACAGCATGATGTATGATACATCGTTATCATTCCTTTCCATTCTTTATTACTATAAGAGCAACTTGAAAGGATGTAAAAAATGCTGTAAATGTGACAAGAAATATTACTGAATGGGTTGTTGCATAATTCTGTTGATTGTATTGAAAATTGACAAAAATTGTCAACCTGCATCGAACAAAATAACTGAAAACATACTAACTTTCGAAATGCCTCTCGAAATATGAGACGCTTGGATCCGTGACCAGTCGTTCAACTCCGTCTTTAGGAGCCGCCCATCCGAACATCTCGCAGTTTCTCGTACCGGCCTTGTACTGGAAAGACTGGCAAAAAAACGCGGGTTCTTCCAAACACTTGATCGCGCAGTCAGCAAGAGACAAATTAAACGCTTCGGCCAGTACTGGCATTGGTGACCTCTTGCCGATGTGTTGCCTGAATCTTGCGAGCGCGGGTATCAATTGAAAGTCTGAAACGTAAATCATAGTGGACATTTTTTTGGCATTCCAGCTGCAGTCTTGGTGTGTTAATATAATCCGAAAGGCTGTTAATCGGTTTAATATGACAAAGAAACAAACGGACCTTTGCCTAATCGTTTTACAGAGTAAAAGGTCTTACCTTCCGGAAAGGCCGTGATGAATTGTGCCTCAATGAAGCCGCTGGTGGAGGCAGCTGTATACGCGCTGAGGACAGTCATCTTCACGGAGTCTGTCTTGATCGTGTTGAAGACGAAGTCGTCGTAGTAAACTTGCGTCACGTCGTACTGGTCACTTCCCACACGCTTCCTGAGTTCGACCTGCGGGTCGTACAGCCACATACATCAGATAACAACTAAAGGCGTGTGACTTTAAAACATTCATTTACTTCGTTGATGTAAAATGATTGTTCTCCAAGATACATGTAATGAACTAACATACAACATTCATTATCAGCAGCGAATCCTGGACAACATCCTGCCTGGGGAAGAGGGACGGGAGTCTATATTACAAGATCGAAGAGAAGGTACTCACGTCTTCATAGGACCCGTCGCTGAACGTCAGCCTGATTGTCCTACTTTGGCCTGTGATCCATGTAGACTGTGCGATCTTGGCTCGGTTGATGAAGTAGTATCCATCGAACTTCAGCTGAACCCACGAGCCGACCCCCTGCGAACTCAGCCAGCCGAGCTGCCCCGGCCGTGGCGTCAGCTGACCGTCAATGATGCCGCCACAGGTAGCGGCGTTTTCTGACGCGCCCACGCACTGCCCGCCTCGGGACAGAACGGCGACGTTTATTCCTCCGATATTTGCTGTAAAGGAACCAAGTGAATCAGATGAATATCATCATTTATAAAAATCCAATGCTATGCTACGCTTTTTACGCTACTTTTACCAACATGAGTGGAAAAGCTATTGATGGATTGTGATAAAAGTGTATGTTATCATGTAATGTC